TTGGACTTAGCCCAAGCACTACCCAGTTTGCCTCCCGAGGTGACTGCAGTAAGGTAGCTCTTGGCACAGTTGATGACCTCCCACAGGGCCGGCAGCTCTCTGCTGAGAACCTAGGTGTTTGCATGCCACCATGCAACCACTGCACCCTGCCTTGTGGTGGGATGCATCTGTTTCTCCAGCTTTTCCTCTGTACTCATGAGCTATAGAGCATGATCTACAGAGAGCACTGATGATTCTTCTGCAAAGGGACCCATAGTATGAAGTTGCAGCTTGCTCTTGGCATGTATGGTGGCCAGTGATGTAGGGCCCCAGTGGAGCTCTTGGGCCTTGGGGAGGCTGCACCCCCCCCCCAAATCACAGGTCACAGGAGGTGGGAGCATCATGAGAGCAGCCCTGTATGCTCCAGGCTCCTCTCTTCCTGCCTTACTGCTCTCCCTGAGACTCTGGTCCCCCGGCCCAGGTGCTGTCCCCGGAAGCTGTGGCTCTGCCTCACTTCTCTGCATTTACCAGAAGAGCAGGGCCTCATGGTAGGTGACATCCTGCCTTTGCTCAGCCTGGTGAAGCAAACTGGGGCTGTGAAAGTCAGTGGGGCTCCCTAGGAATACTCAAAGGAGGTAGTTGGTTGGACCTGCTATGCGGGCTACTGGGGGGGGGCTTCTCTTCCTGTCTCTCCCTACCCCGAGCCTTGTCCTCTCCTCTGAGAGGCTCCGGGGAGCCCCAGGAGCAGCCCTGTTTAGTGAAGAGGCCAGAGAACCTTCAGAGCGCTGTGTGCAGCTACTCATAGGCATAGGGCAGGGAGGTCACTTCCGGTGCCTCTGCCTCCCCACTTCCTGATGTCTTTGGTCACTTCCTCCCAAGCCACCCTACAAAGTCCTTATTGCCCCCTGCCTATGGTGTGGGGCACCACATGGCCCTTGCAAAACCCTTGCCCGCATCAGGCAACAGCTTAGAGTCGGGGGCACCAAGGCTGTGCTCATGAAAGTGTCACTGACATCCTTCTCTCAGGAGGCCAGCCTGCTGTTCTGCATGCACCTCCTGTGGGAGTGGCCCGGGCAATGGCTGCCTTGCTTGGGTGTGATGAGTGAGGATGGCTGTGGTCGGCAGACTTGGGCCTTATGCCCCAGAGGGGTGACACACACTGTGCCACATTGAGATAATGACTCTCTGTTCTTTGCTCTCTGTCCAGCACAGGGAAGTCTCTGTTTACCCTGCCCCAGGCTCTCAAGTCCAGGCACCTGATTGCAAGGTGGTGTTTGTAAATCAAGTTCTGGCTTCCTTGAGAGGCCAGCCTTACCAGGTGTCAATGTCATAGTGTAAGCACAAAGGATTCAGGTACAGAGGGGTCTCCTGAAACCTGCAGTACCCTCATGTGCAGGACACGGGGTACAAGCTGGTGTGCAGCCTGCTTTGCCTCTACCAAAGTGACAGGGTCAACCCAAGAACTGTGAAGGTGGACAGTCCCCACAGAGTGCTGGGCTGGACCACAGCGCGTCCAGGTCTACCTGCCTGTCCCAGAGGCTGCACCCTTAGCAAGCACAGCAGTTGTCCCCCCTGTGTCCTCACATGCCTCCCTCCTTCTACCCGAACAGCTGGTCAGCGAGAAGGTTGGCGGGGCCGAGGGGACCAAGCTGGATGATGACTTCAAAGAGATGGAAAAGGTAGGGGTCTCAAGCACGGTCTGCACAGCTGCTGGAGGACAAAGGGGCTTACACCGTTCTGCCTCAGTGTCCGATGCTCCAACACTGGCTCTCTTCACAGAAGGTGGATGTTACCAGCAAGGCTGTGGCAGAAGTGCTGGTCAGAACCATTGAGTACCTGCAGCCCAACCCAGGTAGGTCACCCTGAGATAGTGACTATGGCCCTCCCAGCTTCTGCTTGCCTCCACACACAAGGTTCCCTTCTGCTGACTTGCTGGGCTGATGGGGCCAGGTCTTCCCAGGCAAGAGTGAGGCAGGGACCATGGAGCAGTACTATCTCCTCTACTATCCCAATGGCACTTCTTCCTGAGGGAAGGGATATGTGGTTTTGCTCCCTTCTATGAGCTGCCAGGCCCCTGGGAGGGCTTGGGTAGACACCCCCTGTCATCTAGGATGTCTGTTCCCTTGCAGCCTCACGGGCCAAGCTGACAATGTTGAACACCGTATCCAAGATTCGGGGCCAAGTGAAGAATCCTGGCTATCCTCAATCAGAGGGGCTGCTGGGCGAGTGCATGGTTCGCCATGGCAAGGAACTGGGTGGAGAGTCTAATTTTGGTGAGGGGCAGCTGAGTGGTTGGGTGGGCAGGGCAGTCATGTCCAATATTCTGGCCTGCCTTGGCATGTGGGTCACTCAGGAGTGAAGAACCCTGCCCATGACAGCCTCTGCTCCCTGCAGGTGATGCCCTGTTGGATGCAGGTGAGTCCATGAAGCGCCTGGCTGAGGTGAAGGACTCACTGGACATTGAAGTAAAACAGAATTTCATCGACCCGCTGCAGAATCTGTGTGACAAGGACCTGAAGGAGATCCAGGTGCCACCCTGTCCCTGAGTCCCTGGAAAGGTGAGGGTGCCCCTATGTAGCTGTGCTGCTCCATCCATCACTTGTCATCCATCACAGCATCACCTGAAGAAGCTGGAGGGCCGCCGCCTGGACTTTGACTACAAGAAGAAGCGACAGGGCAAGATCCCCGACGAGGAGCTGCGCCAGGCCCTGGAGAAGTTTGAGGAGTCCAAGGAGGTGGCAGAGACCAGCATGCACAACCTTCTGGAGACTGATGTGCGTGGGCCCGGGACACCATCCCGCTAGGATGAGCATCCTGCTAGGATGAGGGGCTGCCTTTCTGGGCTAGGGTGCTGAGTCTCCAGGGCTGGGGCGTGGCCATGTCATGTGGCCCTTTCCCTGTCCTGCAGATTGAGCAGGTGAGTCAGCTCTCCGCCCTGGTAGATGCCCAGCTGGACTACCATCGGCAAGCAGTGCAGATCCTGGAGGAGCTAGCAGACAAGCTGAAGCGCCGGTGAGTGGCTGCTGTGCCCTCTCTGCTGATGAGCATGGGCAGCTCAGGCACAGGCTCTGGCAGGACCTTGATGCTGGGTATGCCAGTGAAGGAAGGGTCCTTGGAGCTATGTGTATTTAGTAGCCATGAGGTGCCAGGAGGGAACAGAGCCCTATGGGAGATGGCAGCAGTAGCCTAGGCCAGCTGCTCGAGTCTACATCCTTTGCCTGCTTATGTCAGGTAGCAGTTCCCTGGGTAGCCAGGGACATCACTGTGCATCCTCACTGCATAGGGTGGCTTTGAGGGCAGAGGTGATTGGCAGTCTCTGTAGATACTTGAGATGGGGACAGGTAAGGGGCAGCAGCAGTAGAAACAACAGAGTGGAAGAAGAGGGGTATTCCATTCCTGCCTTCCATTCCTGCAGGGTGCGGGAAGCCTCCTCACGCCCCAGGCGGGAGTTCAAGCCCCGGCCGCGGGAATCCTTCGACCTTGGAGAACTGGAGCAGCCCAATGGGGGATTCCCCTGTGCCCCAGCACCCAAGATCACAGGTAGCAAAGCTCCATGGAAGGTGCCTGGGTTGGAGCTGGGTCTGTCCACCCACTCACACCTGCCCTCCTCCACAAACAGCTTCCTCATCATTCAGATCAGCAGACAAGCCCGCCAGGACGCCCAGCCGGAGTATGCGTGAGTGTTTAGGGATGGAAATAGCTGCTGTCTTTGGGGGTGAGAGAGGGACTGCATTTCCCCACACACACACACACACACACTCCCAGCTGCTGCAGGTTGTTCACTTGAGGTGGGGGGGGGGGTCACAAAAGTGTCAAAGCAGGGCCAACCTCTACCTGCCCCAGGCACTGGCATATCTGGTATTCTCTGACACCCCTACCCTGATCCCAGCACCCCTGGACCAGCCAAGCTGCAAGGCACTATATGACTTTGAACCTGAGAATGATGGCGAGCTGGGCTTCCGTGAAGGTGACCTCATCACACTCACCAACCAGATCGATGAGAACTGGTACGAGGGGATGCTACATGGCCAGTCAGGCTTCTTCCCGCTCAGCTATGTGCAGGTGCTGGTGCCCCTGCCTCAGTGACCATGCCTGCACACTGGCTGCCTGTACATTGTGGCAGCAGCCTAACACCAAGGTGCTCTAGAAACACTAACGTTCCTCCAGGAGGACCCTCCTCCCCACACTCCCAGCCCTGGGGTCCCCCATCCTAAGACTTGGGAAGGCCCACCCTGAGGTCCCATCGCCTTCCTGGTGGTTGCAGATCTCACCTGTTTCAAACCCTCCCAGCCCGTTGCTGGCGATGGGCCCTGGTTCCTTCTCCAGGCTCCCCAGAGGTAGGCAGGTTCTTGGGGTTCCCCAGCTTGCAAGCTGAGGCTGGCCAGTACCCCAGCCTGGCACACGGAGATGCTTAGCACCAGCTGCACATGCACACCTCCCAAGGGACCACAGAACCAGCCTCAGCCCTATTGAAGGCCAAGCACAAAGGTCCCAGAGAGGACATTCCTAGGTCCCTGGCACCTCCTTTGAGCCAGCTCTGTTGCTACCTGTCTGTATGACCCTGTACCTTTAGGCTGCCACAGGCAGCTGGCAGATCCCTTCACTGACCAGCAGACCCACCACAGCCCCAGCTCTGCATTACCCTGCCAGGTGCCAGCAAGGGAAGCCTCCAGCCTGGGTTCAGTCACATTCCTCTCTACAGCAGCCCCACAACCTGTGGCTCATCCCTGGCATATGGGGCCATACCCCAAACCCCTAGATGGGCAACAGTGTTCTGCTCCAGCCTGGGCTGAAGCAAACTCTACTCCTGATTTTTTAAAAAAGTATTAAATGTCTCTTTCTACAGCCATTGTCCCATCTTAATTCAGGGTGAACCTGTTCCCTTGCAAGAGCCCCACACAGCCTCACCATCCAACCCTAGTGCAAGCACCTCACAGAGGCTACCATCCCACCCCAGCCACAGGCCTGTGCTGTGGGTACTTAGACTTTATTACCCAGCCAGAGGGCCCCACAGAGCCCACCACCACACCCCACCCACAGGCCCATGCTGTGGGTATTTTATTACCCAGTCTGTTTCAGGACAGCAGGGTCTGCATGACTTCAGATCCCCTGCTTGAGCATGCTGCAGACCTGCTCCAGCACATGGCACATGCCCTGGTCCTTTGGAGTCCTGCTGGCCAGGGATATCTGCAACAGCAGAACTGGTGTTAGGCTCTACCCTGGACATGTGTCCCCTGCCCCCCCAGGGCTATAGCCTGGCAGGGTGATGGGTGTAGCATTTGGTAAGCCTGGGCTACTTTCAGGACTGGTTCTGTGGGAGAATTCTTTGGTTAGGATTTGGGAGTATGGTCTTGGCTGTGTAGCCCAGGCTAACTTAGAAAAACACACACACACCCCACACCTTTGGGTGCTGTTTGAAAATGTGTGCCATACTAAGCTTCACAGTTTGAGCAATGCACAGTGCAGAACACCCTCCTGGGTTAACTCCACACACGAGAACAAGGACACCAGATCACATGCAGGACCCAGTAATTAGCAAGAGGGCTCACTGCTCTAGATGTACCCTGCATGTCTGGCAGATGCCCTCACCTGGCCACCCAGGTCCTATGACCTCTCTTACCCCAGACTCTGGGGAAGTGGAGAAGTCTGTTGCTCACAGCTCAGGCTCTGGAACGTGGTCTGTGCTTCCCACAGGACCTAGGGGTGGGGTAGGGTGTCCACAGTCTCACCTTGAGCTTATCTAGGTAGGTATGCTCTGGGCTCCAGGACTCCTGGAACTTCACAAGGTCAGGAGCACCCTTGTAGAACTCTGCCAGCAGCACCTGCAGGGCAAGGGGCAGCACACCTGACTCCTGTTCATTCTTGGCTCTGCAGCTCCCTCAACTGCCAGGAGGGACTAGGTTCAGTGCAGGCCTGCCCTGGCTCTGATCTATCCTCATCCCAAGAAATCACACCCATGAGTCCTCAGGGATGACAAAGTAGACACAGCTATCAAAAAGTAGCTACATAGCCAGGTGTGCTGGGGGCACTCCTGCCATCCCAGCACTAGAAAAGCTGAAAGAATAATTGTAAGCTTGGGCTACATAAGAAGACTATCTCAGAAAACAACCAAAAAACCCAACAACAAAGTCAGAAGTGGAGCTTGGGAGGCAGAGGCAGGCTGATCTGTGTTCGAGGCCAGCCTGGTCTACAGAGTTAGTTCCAGGACAGGCTTAGGCTCCAAAGCAAAAACCCTGTCTTGAAAAACCAAAAAAAAAAAAAAAAAAAAAAAAAAAGAAGTGTAAACCATTAACTCTGGAGACACAGCCATGGGCAGATGCTTACCATCTCTTGAAGGATATCATTGGTCAGGAAGCTGTCCTGGACATATGCCATCTCTACGTCCATGGGGATGCCGTAGTCACTGGGCCTTTGCTGCTAGGAGGGGTGGGGACCAGTCAGAGAGGCCTTACTCCAGCCCAGTGTGCCAGGGGCTTCTAGGGTCTGAAGTTAAGGGATGTGGGAAGCCAGGGCATTGCCCAGCAGGCCTTAAGAGTGACCACTGAGATACCACTGGACAGATGGAGAAACTAAGGCACAGCTGGAGTCCCCTGCCTAAGATGCATATCCCATTCTCCAGTCCCCAAACATCTGCCCAGATATAACCCCACCATGCCCACTCACATCCATGCCCCTCAACTTGCCTTTCCCCAGCTTACCCACCTCAGGGGGAGGCATCACCCAGAAAGGGCAGATCTTGGACTCAGGGCCTGGGTTGCCAGAATAGTATGGGGCTGTAGGGACAATGATGGGTTTAGGCTGGTGGGCTCAGTGGGTTTGGCAGGGTGAGTCCCCAAACCCAGTGCCTAGCTGGGGCCTCACAGCATAGCAGGGCCAGGCAGGGCTGGAAGCCGTTGCTGGTGCCTTGCAATCTCAGCTGGTATTCCATCTGTGCATCGATGTCCTGCAGGGAGGGCACTGCTGGGCTGTGTGGGTGGCTGTGGTACCAACCCACCAGGGACAGGCCTCGAAGGAATAGCACCTGGTGGATCTGGAGACATACAAGCTAGGTTGGGGCAGGGCAGGACCAGAGAGCCTTGAGCTGCCCAACCTCATACAAAGGCAGTTATGCAAGTTCTCCTCTCACCCAACAATGTCAGGGAGTGTGATTGACAAATAAATATGGGGTAGGAGAGACGGCTCAGTAGGTAAGAGTGCTGGCTATCCTGTAGAGGACCTCAGTTCAATTCCCAGCACCCACATCAGGCTCACAATCACCCATAACTAGCTCCAAGAATTGGATGCCTTTTTCTGGCCTCACTAGGCACCCACATGCATGTGTACAGATAAAGCATATATCCACTTTTTTATTTTTTAAGAAATGCATCTAATTGACTGGGCAATGGTGGTACACACCTTTAATTCCAACACTCAAGAGGCATCGGCAGATGGATCTTTGTGAGTTCAAGGCTAGCCTGTTCTACAGAGTTCCAGAACAGCCTCCAAAGCTGCAGAGAAATGCTGTCTTATGAAACAACAACAAAAAAGCACTTGTGCCAGAATCAGCTCCCAGCACCCAAATGGTGGCTCATCACTATCCATAACTCCAATTCTGGGGGATCCTATGCCCTCAAATGACCTCCAAGGGCCCCAGGCACACAGATGACACACAGACATTCAAACACAACACCTGCAGAAAAAAAAATCTTTAAAATTCCACCTAGGCACAACAGACCTATTCAGTACTCAATAGGTACAATAGGAGGCTGCTTCATTCTAGGCCAGCCTGGTCTACATAGCAAGACCCCTTGTCATGTAAAGTGCCAATCCAGCATTTCAACCACAAACATAGGTACCCACACTCACTTCCACATTTGCAGAGCATGGCCACTGTCCTGGCCACCAGGACAACTGTGGCCCCCTCCCAACAGCCCTCACCTCCTCCTCAACAGTGGCCGCAGTATCGGCGTCCCCCAGCCGACTCCTGCAGGGGAAGGCTCTCAGCACGGTCAGCACTGTGGATGTACCCAACAAGAAGCCATCAGTCCTGCCCCAGACATGCCCTTGTCCACCCAGTCCCAGTACATACTCTGATTGTTAATGTCCCAGCGACCACCAAGGTAGCCCACAACCTCACTCCAAGTCAGGTGACAGTGGAAGTCCTAGAGATGAAAGGGGAGAACTGGCTCTGGCTGCATTTCTTGTGTCTATGTAGCAGCCAGCCCACCCTCCTATGAGCCCTTATCAAGCACCTACCATTAACCTTAGGGATGTCACTCATTGGTGAGTATGCCTGCACCTAGTGTGTACAAAGGCACTGGGGTCCATTCCCAGCACCAAAGGAAAAAAATAAGCACCTTTTACTTTCTAATAGCAAGCATGTACTGAGTGCCTGTGTATATCATTTCCCTGACTCTTCAATGTCCCCCACCCAGGTCAGCAAGTTCCTTCTCCTTGGACATTGAGGGTGACCAGGCAGGCAAAGTTACTTTGGTCACATACCAAGAGGAACAGCACGTTACTGGATACGGCCACGTTGAATGGCTGGAACTTGTTGATGGCAGCAAAGGAGGTTACTTCTACCAGAGTGTGGGGGTTCCTGTAGTGGCCAGGAGGGTGTCAGAGCTTCAGGAACTTAGGCTTCCCCCCACCCCACCCCCTCCTGAAACCTCCCAGCAAGTGTGGCCCTGCCATATCCCTGCCTCTGGGACCAAATCAACCGAGGGCACCAGGGAAGCCAGGATCAGAGCAGATGAGGTAGCTGACCTGGCAGAGTCACGACTGCCCAGCATGCAGTAACGTACTGGCACCTGGACTTTGTCCACACGCTTGCCCATGGGGGTGACCTCTGAGGAGAGGGATGAGAGAAGTCAATGCGAACCCTCCCTTCCATTCTCTTTGCATAGAAGGAAGGGTACCCAAGAAATACAAGGAAGTGGGGCCAGCAAGATGGCTCATTGGATCATGCAACCAAGCCTGATGACCTAAGTTTGATTACCAGAATTCACATGGTGTTAGAAGGAACCCAGCTCCTGAAAGGTGTCCTTTATCTAACACATGCCCTTGACCCCAGCTCTCAGGAGGTAGAGGCAGACAGATATCTGAGTTCCAGGCCAGGCAGGCAGAGTGAAACAGGCTGGACTGTGTCAATCAAGCCTAAGAAACATCCAAGCCAGCCTCCCCCATCGCAGTCCCCTCCTCTCTGGCCTCTCACCTGGCTCAGAGGAGCCCTTCCCAAGGGGTCTGCGGCCTTTGTCCTCTGCTGAGACCCCGGCCAGCGCATCTTCTTCCTCCTCTTCCAACAGCAGCTCCTCCTCCTCTGCTTCGCTGGTGGGACTCTGGTGGAGTGGGGTATAGCAGTGGTAGCAGTAGTGTCCATCAGCTGGGTGCCTCACTCACACCCCCAAACAAGTACTACTCTCTGGAGCCCAGGCCTGAGCCTGAGATGCCATTGCCTTGAGTGACCACAGAGGGTGAGAGTGAGCAGAAACTGCCTGAGATGTAGGCTTCCCCCAAGCTTGGGATTCAGCCACTGGCTCCTTCTGGCTGTGTGACTTCAGGTGAGAGTCCAGCTATAGCTGAGCTGCCTCTCATTGGTCATTCTCCCTATAGCAAGTCCCTCTGCGCATAACAGTCCATGCCTTCCACCCCCTTCAGGGTCAAAGCTGAAGGCCTCACTACATCCCAGAAGGCCCTGCCTGCCCTGTCTGTCCCCTCCCTGCTTCCCTCCTGCTTGTGTTCTCTCTGCTTCAGCCATTCAGGCGACCTTGCTGAAGTACATGTGAAGCTCTGCCCTACCCCAGGGTCTTTGCACGCCTCATCCCACAGCACACAGGTGAAGGTTTGTAGTCACCTCATCAGCAGCAGCTACTGACATATGCAGCTGGTGTCGGCGGAGCCAGGCAGCCTTGTACTTGTCAAGTTTCTGGCCCTTGTACTTGACCGATGCCCAGCCACAGCCAGACTTCTTGGCCGGGTTGACGAGCTTCTTGCAGTGTGTCGCCCAGGCGCTGGGTGAGTTGAAGATTTGCCCAGTTTCCTGCCACAGGATCCTGCCATCCGGCTGCAGGTCCCCAATGAACTTCCTGCCCTGCAGGAACAGAGAGGGCTGGGACACGCCCACTCCTGGAGATTCCTAACTCCATACTCCCCGAGGCTTGGCGTCCATTTTCCTCTAGGGCTCCCAAGAGGCATTGTCATAGGAACACCATCTATCACACCCCTACAGCATCCTGGCACTCAACAACCAGACACACAGCTTTAAAGTTAAGCACCACCGGTCAGACCCAACATACCAGGCCAGCACTGTCAGCCCAGATACTGGGGAGGCTGAGGCAGAAAGAACATAAGTATAAAGCCTTCTTGGAACCCTGATTTCAGTGGTAGAATCCCTGCCTAGAATCCTCTAGTGATGGGCTGGGGGCATGATCAGAGGTGGAGCCCCGTATGATAGGCTGGGGGCGTGGCCAGAGGGGTGCAGCTCCCACCTAGAATCCCTGAGAAAGGGGCTGGGGGCGTGGCTCGGGTTCCATTCTTGGCACCCCAAAGAAAGTTTTTTGGGGCGATCGTTTTAAATAACAGTATGCAGTATACATCTTCATAGAGGGCCTGGGAAAGCTGACGGGAAAGCTGCTATCGCACGGATGACTGTAATTATGGTTATGAGGCATTGTGAGGATCAGGCTTCCGTTTCCCCTTATGCACGAGCAATGAAGGGCATGAATGTTCTCTAGGGATCGCTCACCAGGTAGTAGATAGATAGCACCCCCTCGCCGGGTTCCAGCAGCTCGTCTTTGAGCAACACCCGTAGCGTGACCGCGCGCCTCGTGAGCGCGCCCCCCAGGGCCAGCCCAGGCCCCGCTGTGCTGCCTCCAGTGCCACTGAGGCTGCCACTGCGCCCTCCGCTGACCGCCCCGCGCTCGTGGTCCTCGGCCTCCGCGTCGTCCTCATCCTCCTCTGGCGCCTCCTCGGCTGCGGCCGCGGGGGACAGAGGCTCGGGAGCTGCAGCGAGACAGCCACGGGCTGCAGACAGAGGTCGTGCTCCTCTGCCCCGTCCCTGCCCACAAGGGAGGTCCTACCTGCCATGGCCGCCGAGTCCCTGCACAGCCTCCTCTCGGTGACCGGGCTCCGCCCCGCGCGGGGACGCCGCAGCCCATTGGTCACCGGAGATGGGCGGAGAGGATTGGCCGCTGGGAGCGGAGGAGATACGGAGCCCCTGAGTTGTGCTCACGTTGGAGCTGGAGAGTCCCGAGACATTTGGGAAAAATGAGGCGAGAGGTTGTGGGAGATTTGGAGGAGGATTCAAACCCAAGACCCCCCCCCCCGTTCAGGGACTAGAGACCCCTGCTGGAAAGAGATGATAACCTGAAGACTCCAGCTTGCTCTCGCGCTGGAAAGAAAATGCGGGAACTCAGAGCTTCTGGGATATTAGGGAAACTGAGACCAGATGGTGCTGGTGACCTGGAGGGAAAACTGACACCCAAGACCGCCTGATGGGCTGCATCCCCGAGCTGGGGCGCTCAGCTTACTACAGCGATGAGGGAAACTGTAGGCTCTGCGCCCTTGGTAGTTGGGAGCTGGGGAGAACCAGCTTTGTAAGAACTGTAGGGCTGCGATGGGAAGACAGCAGCAGCGCGCTGCCTTATCCAAAGTTCTGGGCCAGGCCCAGCTTCAGCGTCTATAGGGTTAACTCGGCAAGGGACAGCCGTTCTTCTCAGCCAATCACCAGGTGCCCCCAACATCCAATTAACTACAAGGGATTGTTCCCATCCAGCCAATCAGCGCCCAGGTAGAGCCAGGGGCGGGTTTTGCTGAACGCGCGCAAGGCTCCAGGCCTTTGTTCCTATCCTGTCCAAGACGTTCAGTGACCCAGCCCTTGGTTCCCTCCAACCCCGGGAGGTCTGAAAATCTGGTATGGGGACCAATCAGAGTTGCGGTGGCCTCAAATGGCAGGTGGGATTGTCCCACTGGGGAAAGAGAGGGACAGGACGCTCTGGACAGTGTCTAAGGAATGAGAATCCTATTTCCCCTAGCCCAGGCCACCTGACCCTGGCTCCTCAGAGAGCCTGTAGCCTCGGTTTACCTCCCCTACGTGTATGTTCAATATGCAGATCTAACCACCTGGCAGTTAAAGCCTTGAGTGAGGCTCCATGTTCTGGACACTGGCCATCTTGTAGTACACCAAGCACTCCACCCTCATCCCAGTTATCTTCCCTGGTCCTAGGAGAATCTTTCTATACTGTAACTATCACCACTTTTCACCCTTCTCCACAACAGTCCATGACTCCCTATTGATTTTTCATTTCCTTCCTTCATTCTTTCAGGTTTTGAGATAGGATCTCACAGCAGCTCAGGTTGGCCTTACATTTGCAGTAATCCTCCTGTCTTAGACTCCCTCCTGCTGAAATCATAGGTTTGCGTCCCTACAGCCTGCTCCCTTGTGGCCTTTGACAATTAGAAGCAACCACTGTGCCGAGGTTAATAGATAACTATCAGATGTTATCTATTCAAGTGCCCTATAGATAACATGTGATAGTTGAACAGATAAAGGAACGTTGTGCCACACATCACACAGAAGCTATTTGGGTCCCCATCACTGTCCTTTATTGCCTGTGTAAAGTCCAGGTGCCTTAACTCAGGACTGCAGAAAAGGAGTTCATAATCAGTTCTGCTTTTTTCTTTCAAAAACAGCATAAAGCTGCAGACAGGACTGGACTTAGTTACTGTGTAACTAAGGCTGCCCTTAAACTGGTGATGACCCCCAACTTCTAACTTCTGGCAAGACCAGAATGTGTCACCACACCTGGCCGAATTTATAATTATAAACTGATTGATAACACTAGAATTGACCTTAGAGCTTTGTACTGGCCTGCAGTCAAGTACACTAACAACACAAGTCATGCCCCTAGCCTCTCTCTGAAATGTCAATAGTAGAGTCCTGCCTAGAATTCCCCAGTGAGGGGCTGGTTTTGTGGTCAGGGTAGAGCCCTGGCCTAGAATCACAGGGAAGGACTGGGTGTGACTCAGTGGTAGAGTGCTTACCTAGCACGTGCAAAGGACCTGGGTTGCAGCTACAGCAACAGGAAGAAAGTGGTGAGAGAACAAAAGGAGGGAAATGATGTGGTTTGTTATAATTATTCAAAATAGCAGTGAGTGTCAGAGCTGCTGGCCCACATCTGTCATTCTAGCACTTGAGAGGCTGAGGCAGAAAGATCTGGAGTTAAAAGTCTGCTTGTGGGGCTGGAGAGATGGCTCAGCAGTTAAGAGCACTTGACTGCTCTTCCAAAGGTTCTTAGTTCAATTCCCAGCAACCACATGGTAGTTCACAGCCATCTATAAATGGGATCAGATTTCTTCTTCTGATGAAGACAGAGCACTCATATATAAAATGCATGGATAAATAAATAAACAAATCTTAAAAAAAAGTAAGCTTGGGCTTCATATCTAGACAACAAACAAAACCAGAAAAACTCAGAACATGGTGGGGCACATTAGTCATGCACTCAGGAGGTGGAGTCAGAAGGCTCAGAAGTACAAGGTCCTCCTCAGCTACTTAGCTGGAGGTCAGCCTGGGCTACATGAAGGTGTCTCAACAAAGCAGAAGAAAGAAAACCAAAGTCAAATAACTAAAGTACTTAGATATAAGTCTGATGAATTATCAGGACACACAGGCTGGGAAGGGTTTCAGTGGAGAAGGGAGCTTGCCACGGAGCCTGACAATCTGCATTTGATCCCCAGGACCCACGTGGTGGAAGGAGAAAATCTCTTGCAAGCTGTGAGTGTAATAAACGATTAAACTGATGTAAGCTGAGGGTGCTCAAACATAATAGCACTGAGAAAGTCTTGACTCTTCCCAGGGCTAAGGACTTGTCTAGTAGATGCCAGCAAAGTGAATTTGATGATCCAGGAAAATTTGTTGCTACATTCAGTGACTTAACAAGCATTCCAGATCTCCCTATTATGTGCCTGCTTCTGTGATTTTCCTGTGACCATCTCCCAGTCACATTCCCCAACACAGGTCCCTGTCTTTGCTTGGGATGGGAGCCCAGAGCTGCTGGGATTTCCCCAGGATCCAGCCCACGCCCAGTCCTGCCAGGGAGGGAGGTGACAACTGACTGAGTTGAGGAAACTCCCCAGGAACCTGTTTATCTGCTTCCTGGCCAGGCTGGGGCTCCTACTGGAAGGACAGGGGACCTGGGCTGGACATGGCCTCAGCCCTGAGCCCACCCCGGGGCCCCAAGCCCAAAGGCGTGCCACCTTCACACTACTATGAGAGCTTCCTAGAGAAAAAGGGACCCTGCGACCAGGTTTGAAGGGTGGGGACCCAGCAGTGCTGAGCTACCCTGGGAATCCACACAGCCTGTCTGGGTCAGGTTTCCACACAGACCAAGGGCCTAGCAGGAGATGGGTGATGTGAGAGGGTGCCTGGTGGAATAAATCACTGCTGCTGGCTGTGGAAGTTTCTGGCTTTCTATCTCTGTCTCATTCCACATTCTGTCCTCTGGATGTGTGTTTGCCTGCCTGCTTGCCTGTCTGCCTGTCCATCTGTTTGTCTACTTTGCTGCTTGGCTGCCTGACTACCTAGCTGTTAGTTTCTTGATCTGTCCAGCTGCTATTTGAATCTTTCTAACTTGGTCTCTCTTTCCATTCTCTGCATATAAACAAGGCTAGAGATTTCCTGCAGGAAATAAGGTATCCTTTGATTCCTGGGCCTCCTCCCCATCCTGACTCAGAAATAACCCCATGAACATGAGGTTCTGGGCCAAGATCATGGCAGATGGCATGTGGAGCTGGTAACAGCTGACTACAGGGTCAACTGTCAACTCAAAACAACTGAGAGAGTTGTTTTGAGACAGGTTTTCAGCACTATGACCCAGGAAGTCTTGAAACTTGAAGCAATCCTCTTGTCTCAGCTTTTCAAGTGTGGGGGTGACGACAGGTGTGCTCTGCCCCCATGTCCAGCCCATATGTATTTTCTGCTTATTACTCTAACTTTGTCTCTTGGTTCCCCCGTCCACATTCCACATGTGTCCAGATACACGCTCAACCAGCAAGTCCTTTACATCATGCACTCAAAGGACAGATAATAAATGGGTGGATGGATGGTTGGATGGATGGGTGAATGGATGGATGTGGGTGGATGGGTGGGTGAATGGATGGATGGGGGGATGGATGGATAGATGGAAGGATGAGTGAATGGATGGGTGGATATATGAATGAATAGGTGGGTGGATGGACAGGTGGGTCAGTGGATATCTGAGTAAATAGATGTGTGTGTACATGGAAAACCATTAATCCAGTTAGGTCAGCGTACTCCCACGGTACTCATCTCTTCACATTGTAGGGTGCTTTGTGTCTCTATCCCATATGAGTCCTTTTGTTTTCTCCTATATTAAATACTGTTGATGGAGCCTAGGCTCACTCCCATGCTAGACAAATGCCACTAGCTCTACCACAGACCATAGTCTCAGACAGCAGGAGATGCTCAGGACAATGGGCAGGGAGGACCACAGTGAACATGTACTTTTAGGGGCCGGGCTCAAGTCATTCCCTGCTCACCCAGCATGATGGAGCCCTAGGTTCCATCCCCAGCATGACAGAAACTGGCTATAGTGGTGCATGCCCCTCACCCCAACACTCAGGATGTGGAGACAGGAGGAACAGGAGTTCAAGGTCAGCCTGGGCTACGTGATACTGTGTCAACAAACTAACTAGCTAAATAAATAAATAAATAAATAAATAAATAAATAAATAAATAAAACATAACCTTTACTGAAAATAGGTATCTTTGTAGTGAGGGGAAGGGCACTCAGGCACAAGGAACAGCCAATTCAAAGGGCCTGCAGCCGGAGGAAGTACATTGGGCACACACAACTTTGCCACCTAGATATTTTCTCCTTTCTTCTCTGGCTCCCAGGATTACAGGAAGTTCTGGGCAGGCCTCCAGGGTCTATCCATCTGCTTCTACAACAGCAATCGAGACTTTCAGGTGAGGACAGGGGAGTGAGCTCAGGGTCTGAAGGGTGGATACCTAGGTGGGTGGAGGTCTGAGATTGTATCACTCCAAGGGGGTAGCCCCATCATCCTGGGAACTTTAGGGAACCACAGGTCTGGTGCTCACACACTCCTGTTCCTCGAGACCAGGCCCTGGAGAAGCTGGACCTGAGGCTGTTCTCAAAACTTAAAGATGAGTCTCCATGGGGAAGCTCAAGGGACACTAGCTATCACTTCAGCCTGGTTCTCCGGGACCAGGAGGTCAAATTCAAGGTATGTCAGGAGGAAGGAGAGATTTCTCCATTAGGTCCAACATTCATAATAACTGTATGGAGTCACATGAAGTCTTACTCTGACCTCCTCACACTCTACAAGTCCCTGGACCTCTTGTGGCTCCAGATGCCTTTGAAAGGGCTGGTCAGCATAGGATACAACTTGTACAAAGGCTCCGGGGCAGGGGACACAAATGTGCAAAGACCTGGGGCAGAATGGGCCCTTACTCTACTTTACTAATGAACACATCCATTCTCTTTAGCATAAACTCTTTTTCCCTCTCTCTAGGTTGAGAGCCTGGAGTCTCGTGAAATGTGGAAAGGATTTATCTTGACTGTGGTAGAGGTAAAGTGACTCTACTTCTCTATTAGTTTGTTGTTGTTTGTTGGCTGGTTGCTTTTCTAGATAGGGTTTCTCTGTGTAGCCCTAGCTGTCCTGGAACTCTCTTTGTAGATCAGGATAGCCTGGAACTCAAAACATTCTCCTGCTTCTGCCTCCAGGATAAAGGCATGTGCCACCACTGCCTGGCTAGTTTCATTTTTTATTTTATTTATTTACTTACTTGTTTTTTTTTTTTGTTTGTTTTTTGTTTTTTTTTTTTTTTTTTTTTTTTAGACAGGATTTCTCTGTATTGCTTTGGAGGTTGTCCTGGAACTCGTTCTGTAGACCATGTTGGCCTTAAACTCACTGAGATCAGCCTGCCTCTGCCTCCCCAAGTGCTGGGTTCAAAGGTGTGTGCCACCAACACCCAGCCTATTTTTTGTTTTTTGAGACAGGGTTTCTCTGTATTGCTTTGGAGCCTGTCCTGGAATTCACACTGTAGACCAGGCTGGCCTCGAACTCACAGAGATCCACCTGCCTCTGCCTCTCGAGTGCTGGGACTAAAACTGTACACCAACGTCTGGCTAGTTTCATTTTTTAAAAATTATTTTTAGATTCTTGTGTGTGTGCGCGCGCGCGCGCGCGCGCACGCGCATGCACACACAGTGCCCTTGGAGGACAAAAGAGGATGTCAGATCTCCTGTAGTAGGAGCTACTAGTTACTAGTGGTGGGTGTTGAGAGCAGAGCTCCTATCCTCTGAACTTCTGGGCCAGCGCTCCAGCCCCTAGTTCTATTTTTGAAAGAGGGTCTTGTGTAGCCCAGGGTTGGCCTGAAACTCTCTATGTAGCCGAGGATGACCTTGAACTCCTATCTGTCCACTTCTGCCTCTGTCCTGAGTGCTGGGATGACAGGTGTGTGTCCATCGCCACCTCCTCCTCCTCCTTCTTTTTTCGGTTTTTCGATAGGGTTTCTCTGTATTGCTTTGGAGCCTGCCCGCCTCTGCCTCCCCAGTGCTGGGATTAAAGGCGTGTGCCACCAACGCCCTGCGCATCATCACATTTTTTTTCTCTTTGGATCCTGGTTGGACCTTACCCATCACTCAGAGCCACCTTTCGAGTCCGCTTTAGGATCTGTCTCTAGGTGCCTGCATTTGTATGCCGTGGGGACACCTCCTTCCTGGGTCTGCATGCTAGCCTCACTTTACCTTTTCGGTCCCTACCCATGGGTTCTCGGCCTGGATCATCCTTCAGCTCCGCGTCCCATCTAACCTGACCCTACTGCCCGGACACAAGTACATGATGGCCGAGGTTCTGACCAAAGAAGAGGCGCGGCGGGCGGCCGAGGTGCCCTGGTGAGTTCTGACCGCCCACGGAATACGCTCCTAGGGGAGGAGGCGGAGCCTGTGTCTCTGGGCTTGGGGCTGTGGTCTATGAGGGGCTGTATTAAAGAGGGAGGCGGGTCTTGTTTAGAAGGGGAGGGGCCTAGGTTTAGGAGAGGAGGCGGACCTGAGTGGGCGGGACCCGCGTGTCTGGGAAGGGTCTTTTGGGTTGGGGACGGGTCCTTTATTTATAGAGTGTTGGGCTTGGGTCCAAGACTGGACCTCAGCTTCGAAGAAGCGAGGCCTAGGTCTAGGACAGTAGGTTAGGTCTTTGAGCCTGCTGGGTCTGTGTCGAGGGGCAGGCCCATTCCTGGGGGCGGGGCCTAGGTCTAGGGTAGGAGGAGGTCTCTGAAAGTGCTGTGGGGGGTTGTCTGTGTCTAGGAGTGGGGTCTTCTGGGGTGGGGCCTGGATCTAGGAGAGGAGGCTGGACCTCTGGGAAGGAGGTTGTCTGTGTCTTGGGGTGGGGCCTGGGTGGAGCAGCAGGTGTGGGGCCCCTGAGGCCTGGTCCAGGTATCCCTGCAGAACTTTCAGCATCTCTCTTTATGCGCTCGCTCTCAGGTGCTTCCTGCAAGTGAGCCGGCTGGAGGCGCAGTTACTCCTTGAGCGCTACCCCGAGTGCGGGAACCTGTTGCTGCGTCCTGGAGGGGATGGCAAGGATGGTGTGTCTGTCACTACACGGCAGATACTCAACGGGTGCGCACGTGGGGATCTGAGCCCAGGGTGGGCAAAGTCATCTGTGGGCGTGGCCGCCAGTGGGACTGGAACCTGGGTGCGTAGGCCAGAGCTGGGGGTTTGGTAGCCAGAGGCTACTTGGAAAATTAAGTCAGGCTGGGGCTGGAACACCTGGGGAAGGGTGTGGGGCTATGACTGGGAGTGGACCTCTGGGGTCGGGGTTATGCCTAGTGAAGGGGTCTCCTGGAGTATGTTTATAACTGTGTAGGCTTAGGGACGGGACAACGACTAGAGGTGGTGTCCTGGCTTGGGGGGTCTCACAGGCTCGTCGTTTCCTGGGGTGGCATCCCAACTACCTAGTTGCCCACTGCTCTGTAGGTCGCCAGTAACCAAGCACTACAAGGTGAAGCGGGAGGGTCCTAAGTATGTGATCGACGTGGAAGACCCGGTGAGCTTTGGGGTATCCTGAGCTCAGGCCTCCATCCCCCTCCCTACCCCGCCTGACCACCATCTCTCACCCCAGTTTTCCTGCTCCTCACTGGAAGCTGTGGTCAACTATTTCGTGACACACACTAGGAGGGCGCTGGTCCCCTTCCTGATGGAGGAGGACTATGAGAAGGTTCTAGGTGTGTGCCATGTGGGGCAGCCGGGCTTGGACGGGGACACGTGGTGGGGGGGCTAGCTCTGGGCCTCCACGCTGCCTCCAGGCTGCCCGCCCTCTCTGTTTCAGGCTTCGTGCACTCGGATCAGGAGAATGGTGAGAGTGTATGGGCAGTGTCCTCCTCTCCGGGCTCAGGTGACTCCCTTCCCCCCGTGGCTGGCTGATGCAGCCGAAAGGCTATTTCTTTGGTTGGTTGGTTGGCTTTTGAGACTTGGTTTCTCTGTATAGCCCTGAGTTTCCTGGAACTCACTCCGTAGAACAGGCTGGGTTTGAACTCAGAGCTTCACCTACCTCCCCCCACCCCTGTGCTGGGAATAAAGGTGTGTGTCATCACTGCCCAGTGGCTCTGTTGAGACAGGGTCTCACTCCATAGAATGGGCTAACCTTGAACTCAAGAAATCCACCTGCCTCTTTCTCTGCCTCCTAGATGCAAGGATCAAAATGTGCCACCCACCTGATTTGTTTTTTTGATAGGCTCTTATGTGGCCTAGGGATGACAGGCACCCATAGCTATACTAGGATCCAAAGGATTTTATTTCATATCATCATCTTTAGTTTTTTGTTTTGTTGATTTTGTTTTTTTTTGTTTGTTTGTTTGAGATCTCCAGGTTGTTCTGAAACCCACAGAAATCCATCTGCCTTTGCCTCCTAAGTGTAGGGATTGGGTGCTGGGTTTCCTTTACCAAAGAGCAAGAGGCAACAGGCCTTGCAGAGTTTTGAGGGGAATGTAGCATTGTCCTCTTGAGCCCAACCCTGAGCCACAAGCACACACATACTATGCTTATACTCGACTCTGTATACACACACACACACACACACACACACACACACACGTATCTGTGTACCTGTGTGAAGCCACAATCCCACATGCATCCCAACATGCAGACATACTGTGATTGACAAATGGGCACATAGGGACACTTATCTCTGGAGGTAAACCCTAAAGGGTTTGTACCACAGAGGCCCTAACAGTGACTCTTTCCCATAAGGCCCTGCAACCCATGCTAATGTCCCGAAGCCACTCCCACCTGTGTCTGTGTCCAGCCAGGAGGACAGACTGCCTCCACTACCTCCCCTGCCTCAGTTACAGGACCAGGATGAGAACTATGTGACCCCCATTGAAGACTCCCTAGCAACTGAGTACATGAATCATGATGGTAAGTTGGGCCGCAGACACTGGAGTTGGGAGATGCAGTAGTTGGTGACACCCCGTGACATCTCTTTCTCTCTTGTCCATGCAGTGTCTCCCTCTAGTCAGCCAGTTCCCTTGAAGCCCAAGAAACCTGTGAAGCTCCCAGCAAAACCCCCGAAGCCACCAGTTGTGCCCAAACCGGGTAGGGCTCCGACCTCCCCATTTCCCCCTTTCCTTGGTGACAGGTGACCTTAGACCTCATCTGCATCCTTCTGCAGATCTCAAAGCCATCAATAGTGTCTGGGCCAGGAAGCCGGGTGGCAGCTCACCCCAGGCTCCCTCCCTCCTGACAAGTAAGGAGACTTTGGGGGCCTTGATGCATGGTGGGCAGGTCCTGGGTGGGGGTGAGGGGCACAGTCCAGGGTGATATAGCTCAAGTCTGGGTTCTCACTCACCAGGGCTGGGGGATATCACGGCCGAGCTGGAAGAGAAACTGCAGAAGAGGAGAGCGCTAGAACACTGATCCGAGCTCCCAGGGACTAGTGCCTATCTCAGGACACAGTAGTCTCCTACCAGCTGTCCTCACTTAGGGGACTGGACATGCTCAGCATGAGGAATGAGCCTGTTTTCCAGTGAAGCACAGAGCCCTGGGAAGATTTGAGGCTAGCCTGAGCTGCACAAGATTTCCACAGCAGCCTCGGCTACAGAGTGGGATCTTGTTTAATAAAGCAAAAAACAACAACGAACTTTACAAGACTGCAAGGTGTGTGTCTATCATGGCCTCTAAGATTGAGGCTTGTCAGGTGTTGGCCCCAAGCTGGTACTCTTGACACCAATCCACAAGGCAAGACCATTTCACAGCTAAGAAGTGCAAGGTCTGACTCACCTAAGCCCCATCCCCAAGAACCAGCACAGTAGCATGGCCAGTGTTTCATCTTTATTATGAAGTGAGGTGGGGAAGAATCCTGATCCCCCTTCCAGAGTTAAGGCTCCAAGCAGCAGGTAGGTGGAGATGCTGGCTGATGCGCCCCAGCTGGCAGGTGGCCCCGGCCTAGGTGAGGCTGGTATTGGAACTGCTGGTGGCACTACCCCGCTTCTGTAGGCAGCGCACAGCACTGGGGACCTGCAGGCCTGTTGTCACCTGGAAGCTTCCACACCACACCTGGGGAGATTGAGGAACAGGAAGGCTCAACCAGGAGTCATAGGACCCAGAAACAAGTCCACCATCCCCCACCCACTCCCTCCCACTGCAACCGGCTCACTGTGAAGGCTGGAAGCAGGGGCTGTGTAAACTTGGCCTTGAAGGTATGCAGGAGCTGTTTGGTGCGGGCATTGTAGAAAGACAGAAGGCCTGGGGTGAGGGGAACAGGGATACAGGTGTCAAGACACTTGGGGGTGTGAGGACTAGGGGAAGAGTCGGAGCTTTGGGGCTGTGGAAGGGAAAGTGACGGCACCTTGGTGGAAGTCGCAGTGTACACCCAGGCAATCGGGCACAGGGCTATCCAGCACTTTGACCTTGTTGGCATGCTTGGCAGTGAAGCTGGCCTGCAGCCAGTTGTTAGCATGCAGACACCAGGACGCAGCTGTCTTGCCCAGCTGCTCAAAGCGGCCCAGGCTTCGGTAGGCTACACCCAGGCCAAAGGCCTTGCTGTCTGGTTCAAATCGCACTTCCCAATAGTGCTCCCCACTGTCAATCAGCGTGTCCCCTGTGGCACAAGGACAGGGAATGGGCAGGATGGAGTCAAGGGTGTGCACCTCCTGTGCCCACATACTTCTGAGCTGCTCCCTTGCGTCAAGCTACTCCCCCAGCTGCTCCATCTCCCTAGTTCACCTCATCTCCCATTCTTACCCAGCACCGTGTAAGACTCAGCTGTGAAGCGGTCCCGTCCCCCACGACCTGAAGACATCCTCTTGGGAGATGGAGTCCCTCTGTGGACAGTAAGGAAGCCTTAGCTCAGGTTTCACCTTTCCCAGGGGCAGCCTCCCTGGTTCATGCTAGCCACTGTAAATGTGCCTGCCATTTCCCTCAGCTGGAAGATGCCTAACCAACTAACTGGTCAGATGCTGCAAAAACAAAAAAATCCACAACCCTCCTATTTCATCCATCGGAACCCTTGTTGTCAGTCATTCTTATGCAAAGAAGCTGTTATACCCCCAGGCCCCTCCCTCCATCCCAGTCCTGACAAAACTGGCCATGGTGAGCGTGTCCACTAGAGACTCAGAGGACGGGGGAGATGGGCTACCTGGCTGGGGAATTTACAGGGGATGCTGTCCGGCCCTTGCCCTCTTTCTCTCGAGCCTTGATATCTTGGACCTTCCCTCCCATGGCGTCCCACTCGACGGAGAGGTCCTCCACTCGAAGGTTCTGGTGAGATGTGGACCCGTCCAGGCGAAACATGAATGCTGGGGCCAGGGAGACGAGGGGGGGGGGTCACAGAGGTGGGAAACCCAGATAAACACAGAGACAAGACAGGCAGCTGGTGACCCAGGCTGAGGGAGATGGACAGGAGGGGCAATACAGGAATAGGAAGGTTGGGGGAAGTGGCCATGTAAAAGATCTGTACTCTAAATGTCTCTGGCGTCTAGAGACATTTTCAAGCTGGTCTCTCTGCCCTGTGCTTCCACTGAGGGTAGGCCCCAAAGAAAGAACAGGGCTACAGCAGGAGGGAGTTAGGCTAGACAGCAGAGGGACTACCAAAGATGATCTATAAAAGAGTCACTGTGGGAGACTATAGAATATGTTTTTATGACTATATTCTGTCCCCAGATCTACAGAGGATAGAGGGAAGGAGAGATAGGAAGACTACTCTAGCTATCTACACTTGCACTTCCAGCTCTTGTAAGGCTAAAGCCACAGAACTGTGACTTCCAGTCTGGGCTACCTAGTGAGAACCTGTCTCCAAAAACTAAATAAATATTTTTTTTTTTTTTTTTAAAGAAAGGGAGGGGGCTGGAGGTTGCTCACTGGTTAGCACCCTGGGTTTGGTTCCCAGCACCCACAGGGTACCTCACAACTGTAACTCCAGCTGTCCCCCTGGCATCTGTGGGCACTGCACAGCTGTACTGCACTGACAGAAATGCAAAGAAAAGTCACACAGTAATCATTTAAACAATTTTAACCACTGCCATAAAACCCCCGATCCTAATTCCTAGCGTCCACATTAAAAACAAGGCACACATGTTGGGCATTTGTAACCCCAGCATGGGACAGGCAGAGATAGGGTAATTCTTAGGGCTGGGTCCAGCCAGGTGGACAGTACCTGAGGAATGACCCCTGATAATGATGTCCCTTCCCCTATGAGGTCATGCACAAAAATACATGTAAAATACAATAAAATCCACAGGTCACCCTCACAAACAGAAGAAAAAAAACCTGAAAAACAAAAATGGAAGAACCCAAGATATCCCAGCAAAGACAGAAGATGGCCATTGTAGACTGAGTGTGAGCTCTCTGGCAGCCAGAGCAACAAGGTCACATTATCCCATTTTAAGACCCTTATGAAGGATGGCCCAGGACACCAGGATGGATGGGAGATATCCAGTCAGGGAGGGGTGGGAAGCAGTCACCTGGTGTCTCTAAGGTCACCGGCTCAGAGAATTCACCAGCTACCGCCTTGTTACAGGCCTTCACACGGAAGTTCATGTATTTCATGTCAAATTTGAGACCTAGGAATGAAGAGAGGATATAAGATCATAAGGGCCCCACCCCAGTCTGTCAGTCTGTCTAAGATTTATTTCTATGTATGTGGGTATTTTGCCCATCTATGTGTCTGTGCACCATTTGTGCTCAATGCCTGTGAAGGCAAGAAAGGGGTGTCTGATCCCCTGGAGCTGGAGTCACAGGTGGTCATGAGCCACCATACGGGTGCTGGCAACAGAACCCAGATCCTCTGCAACAGCCACCTGTGCTCTAACCACTGAGCAGCCTAACGGGACCCTTGATTATCACTGCTGAGCCTGCCTGTTCTACCCTCTTTCCCTGTCCTTGGCCTCCCTGCTCATCTCTCTGCATACTGTCCCCTTGCACTCAGGGTACCAGGACACACGTTAATGCCTGGCCTTATGTGTTTGTCAGCCTCCTGTGAGCTCCCCGGCTGCTATGGAACACCACAGTCACCACCCTGTGCACTAGAACCTTCTACAGCTCACTCAGTCATCAGAGAGCTCACCAGAACAGTCCAGAACACAGGCCCCATTTGACTTTTTTGTTTGTTTTTGAGATAGGGTATTGCTGTGCAGCTCAGGCTGGCCTTGAACTTGCTCTGTAAAGCAGGCTGGCCTTGAACTCATACAGATACACTTGCCTCTGTCTCCCTAGTGCTGGGATTAAAGGCGTACGTAACCCCCTCCCCATTTCTATTTCTTTTTCATATGACAGGTCTCATGTAGGCCAGGCTGACTCCAAACACTCTATGTAGCCAAGTCTGACCTTGAACTCATGATCCTCCTGCGTTCACCTCCCCGGTGCTGAGATGACCAGTTTGCCCCAAGCTGGGGATGGAACCCATGGCTCCTCCCTGCTAGATGAGCACTCTGGCACCTGAGCCATGCTCCCCTTCATTTCTTTGTCTTGGAGTTGAACTGTAGATACCCCACAAGCTGCCATCAGTGGGAAGATGAGAGCCCTCGCTGCACTTGTATCTGTGATTAACCCCAGCTAAAAGGTATAATGAAACCAGTAAGAGGCGGAGGGGCCTGGGGCACGGATTCTGGGGTCCTATGAAAAAAAGGGTAGGTTTGTTTTGATTTCTGTACAGATCGGAAGGCAGTAGGTTCTGGGGCTCTGGCACTGGCTGGCACGACCATTCTCCTGAAATTAGCATGCTCATTTATTAACTGTGGATGCTAATTACAGATAACTAGCAGGCTGGTGATTATAGCTCGAGGACTGAGAGTTAGGGAGGGAAAATCAGGGGTTCCCAGTTCTGAAAGGCTTTGTACACTCATTAGGCCCTGATTCCTGTCTCCTGATCTTCCTCTGGCCCACTGTATGGGTGTCTAGATGTTCTGACTTCTTCTAACTACCCAGAAACTCCCTGAGTATCTGAGGGGATCCCCTTGAATGCCAGGACTGGGAGTTCACTAGTGAGTGAAGGGCTGAGGAAATGCTTGCTGGGAAAGCTGCAGGAATTCACATTCCTCACGGACCAAATCTTGTCACCCAGGAAAGAGCCAGGAGTGGCATGTGCAGACTGCAACCCCGACGTGGAGATAGGATTCCTGGGTCTTGGTGGTCAGCTTAGCTGTGAGCTCCAGGCCACTGACACCCATCTCAGAAAATAAGCCACTGAGGGTTGATGGCCAACACTGACCACTGACACTGGCACACAAACGGCTAGAATGAAGGAACAGCAGCTGAATGGTAGAGCTACAGAGAAGATAAGGGTGAAGTTACTCCAGTGCCTCAGTTTCCCCTGCTTTCAAATGGCTTTGAGAAACCTGTTTTCCACACAGGAAAAACCCATCCATCTTGCCTTCTGTTCTGTGGATAGCTCTGAGGGGCTAACTCCACCAGCCCGCTCTCAGACCCCAGGAGTTGCAGGAAGCCAGAAGTCCCAATACAACTTGAGTCGATGGGGCAATGGAACCAGGAGGTAGGTGGGTGGTTGGGAGCCATACAACCAAGATGAGCTGGGATTGCTCCCCAAATGCAAATGCTCCTTCTCTTGCCTGAGAGTGCTCCTTCTCCTGTCAGGGTATGCATCCTCTCCTTCCTGGGAATGGACCTCGTTGGGGAG